TAATGTCTTACTTTACGAACTAATGAATGATTTTTACTTTACTGTGTTGCCTGAAACCACACGTTACTTTTTTTAGAACTTTCTTCTGTTTTTATACGCATATATATCGAATCTTCACTTTTTCAACCACTGAGTAGCCATTAATGAGTCAAATAGAAATTGTGGGGTGCCCATATCCTTTCCAAATCCCCCCCCCCTTAATCGTACTCATTCTGTATGTTATTTTCATTCATAAAAAAAAATTCTAATAAAGTAAAAGAAGATTGTTGAAACACAGTTTTAATTTACGATATTCTACTCAAAAGATATTTTAATAAGTTTTCATAGTTTAAAAATTCTCGTTAAAATTAATTTTGTCCGTATTAGTTTTTATTTCTGGTTCACACCAATATACATTAGCTTTTATCTCCCATTAAAAACATTCGGCGCTAAATATGTGTATTGATATTAAGTTGTCGTTAAAGGGCATTGCATAGTGCAATGCCCCCAAAGCAACTTATAAACTTTGCATTATATGAATTTTGACTTTTTATGAAGTATCTGTCTTTTGATTTATTTTTTACGATTTAGATCATAATAAAATAATTCAAATTCTACCATAATGTTCAGTATATTATATATATTGAGCTTATAAAACATCAATATACATTATCAGCTATTATTCCATTTTCGAGAACTCTAATCTAAACAGAGCTAGAAATCATGGAGAGCTATTGCGCACATTAGGTTTTCAAGGACTTGGAATACCCACAATGCACTCTCGGTATTCGTCACTATCCTGAATTATTGTCGTTTGATCAGGAATTCGCACATTATTCCTGATTGGTATTTTGAAATAAGCTTACATTACGTGTTACAATTAGAATTTCTTTATTTATTTATGTAAATAAAAATACAAACATTTATGTATTCATTCTGAATTCGCGATAACATGTGTTATTCATTGATTCATTATTGTTATTTAAATTTGCTTGTTTAACATCAAATTAACCATTTCATAATTCAACCGCATCGTTTTGATTTTTTTTTAAAAGTTAATCGGCATCCTTGAAATAAAAAAGAATCCTACGACAACTTGGGGGGTAATTTTGTGTAGAAAAATTCATATATGTTGATATTAATTTTTTTTACACAAATGATATGATTAATAAATTAATATTAATGGATATTATGTTATTATATATTCATATAATTTGATGCAGAAACTGTAATAAACAATTGTAAAAAAGTTTATGCCTAAAAATACTCTCTAGTTTACATAGTTAATTCAGCCTGACTCTGTTAGAGATTCTGACGTTCGAATCAATAGAGCAACAGATAAAAAATGCGTTAATCCGAAACGAAAATATAAAGAAATTTTTAGTTTAAATCAACATGTTTAGTTATATGTTATTATACATTCATATGTTATATATTCTTTTTAATAAACTTCCAATGCAAATGGTTATTTCACCGCTCTAATGCACATTTTTATCTTAGATAATAAATAACTGTTTAGTTAAGGTAATTGAGCGAAAAGGGAGTTCATTTTTCTTGCCATATTGAATGAAAAGGATAGAAATTTATTTCACGTTGCAAACATAAAAAGAAAACAGTTATATACTATTTGTATGGCGCCAAACATGTTTACAATACTTTAAATGTTTATTTCAAAGAAGCTGCCCCAGTCGTAGCTATTTCTTGATATTGAATTCTTTGTAAGAGTAAACATTTCTTGTAGCAATAACAAAAGAGGTAACTATTCAAATCCCATTCTTCTCTTTAAGCCTATTTATTTAATGTTATTGCGTGCAAAATAAAGAATTTTAAAAAAAAATGGCTTAAATCTTTAAATGCAATATTTCGTTGTAAACATAAATTAAAATCGACCTTTGAAAATAACAAACATTTTTAAACAGCTTTTCAAGAAAGCAATATTTTTCATACGAGCAACAATTTCGTCACGCTTTTAAACTATTCCATGTACATCGCGAAGACTAACTCCTGCCATTAACTGAAAATAAACATGGGAGTCCGTCGCATACATATTTATTAGGAAGACTTGCAAATGAACCAAGGCATTACGATTGATTATGTTCTACGCATTACGAACTCTACAATAAAAGAGAAGGGTGTCCTTGCCAGCTACTGGGTGATACTAAAACAGCTTAAAACAATTTATTAAGGCTAACTGTTGGCACAAGCGCAGCACTTTAGAAAATTATATCTACAAGATCGAAATGCTACACAACAAATTGGTTGTTTGCGTGGAGAAAATCCTTTTTTTATTTCATCAATTTGGCAAAACAATACTTAGATATTTTTTTGTATTTTTATCGGTAATTCATCGATATTTCTAAATATACGTAATACGTATGTCAGAATTAATAATATTATTGTACTGTTAAAGAAATCAATATACTTTGTAGTGATGACTTTCCTTCCTTGACAATAAATAACAAATCGATCACTTTACAATTCCCACAAATCAATTCCTTTACAATCAAAATTAAAGAGAAGTTAAATGCTGCGTCACATTTAATCTACTCATTAAAATAAAATTTTGTCAAATATTAACATATGATTAAAATTAATTATAGAAATACTGAAAGTTAAATTCATGAACAAAATATGGTGAAGTAATGTTATTGATTTCCATTATGCATATAATATAATAAATTGTGCATTTTATAATGGACAGTTTGTATAATAAATTGTGCATTTTATTATATTGTTGTGATTGAAGTAATTGTGCAAGATGTAATAAAAAATTCATAGATAGATTCATAGATAAAATATTCATAGATGAGATAGATTCAGAATTCAAAATGAATGATAATATAATAATATAATATAAATAAATGATTAATTAATAAATTGAAGAGCAAAGCATTCTGAACTGATGTTATTGATTTCCATTATGAATAGATGATTCAAGATAAAAATAAAGTAATATTACATTAAAATTATGTATATAACATATGTTGAAATGATATATATCTATTACATATATGGCATAAATAACATATAAAATGTTTTATATCTTGGATAATGAACAGGTTATGCAAGACATAATAAAAAATTCAGGAAATAGAAGTATAACAAAGTTGATTATAGTATGATAATGTAACATAAGCAAATTATAAATACTTAAAGTTAAATTCGGAATAAAAACATTATGAATTAATGTTATGGATTTTCATTATGAAGGAGTTATGCAGAATGTAAAGAATTCATGAGTTTCAGAATTCAAAATAATAAAATAACATAAATAACTTATTAATATCAAAATTTCAAGCAAGAGCCAAACATTATGAACTAAAGTTATCGATTTTCATTATGAATATAACCTACTCAAAATGGTACGAGATATAATAAAACATTCAGGAAATTCGGAATTTAAAATACATTTTAAAAAATTAATATAATATAAATAACGTATTATAAATATTAATTGCTGAATTTAGGAACAAAATATTATGAACTAATGTTTTCAATTTCTATGATGGAAATGTTTTATTATATTTTCGATAAGAAATAGGTTATGTTAGACATAATTCGAAAATTCAATACCAAGAAGTGTAACGAAATAAATTATATCATGATAATATAACATTCACAAATTAAAATCCTAAAAGATAAGAATAAAAACATTATGAACTAATGTTACCGATTTCTATAATGAGTAAGCTGTACAAGAAATTAAAGGGGAAAGAAATAAAAGAAAAAAAATTATTAAAATGATATTACATAAATAAATTATAAATACTAAGCTATATTCGGGAACCAAATAATAATGTTATGGATTTTTATTTTTAATTGTACAAGATATAATCAAGAACTGAAAAGAAAGAAATAACAAAATAAATTAAAACATAATAATAAGCTATAAATAAAAAGTAATAAAAAATAGTTGTAATAATAAATAATAATTATAATAAGAGTAATACATAATAACATAAATACTGAGCTCGGGAGCAAGATATTGGGAACTACTGTTATCGAATTTCTGTCTGAACAGTTAATACAGAATATAATTTTGAAAAATTGAAACTTTTTTTATCATAATAATAAATAAATAAAATTATAAACACTTAAAGTTAAATCCGGGAGAAAAATATTATGAAGAAATGTTACCGATTTCCATTATGAATAGGTTATATATAATAAAGCTATAATTAAGTAACACAAATTATAAATACTAAAAAACTAAATTTGGGAGTAAAATATTATGTACTAAAAATATCGATTTCTGTTATAAATAAGTTACGTAGGATATAATAAAGAATTCATGAAAAATAAATACAACAAAAGATTTCTAAAATATCCTTTCAATCAGGCTAAAAATAACACCTCTCTCTTTTCCCTTCGGGAATTAATAAAGATAACTTCGAAACTTCAAAATGAAAGAGGTTTTTTTAATATGTTGCTATATGTATAATTTCAAGACAAAATTAAAATTATGTCTTAACAATTTGAAAACTTCTATGACACTATGTGCTCTTTAAGAATTAAATTTAGGTTTGAATCATCATATTTTTTATAAATCATCCTTATAGAAATTCTTTCTAGTCAAAATATTCAAAACTTATGTCTAGTCTTATGTCTTATAGTTATTATGTCTTCTGTTATTATGTCTTCTAGTCAAAATATTCAAATCTGATATTGTTTTTTAATATGAATCAGGTGAACAAAATAAAAAAAATTTAGCTTATAAAGTGTTATAATTAAAATATTTATTTTTAAGTATATTAGCGAATAATTTTTTAATATATGACTAGTGCCTACAACAGTAAATCCATTAATATCCATCATCTGTAAGATATTTAAATTTATAATTTTGAAAAGAAGTAAATTTATTCAAAAGCTTTATAGCCTCCACTTGTTTTACAAATTCAACAAAGTTGAATTCTTCTTTAGTGTAAAGCAAGAATTATGTATTTGCCTATAACTTCAATTAAATTTATAATTTGTCTTTGAGTGTCCTCAAAATATTAAAATTAAAATCTTTTTTCCTTCAACAGTGGGAGAAATTACGAAATATTCTAAATATGAAAAATTCCAGCCTAGAATATAATCATTGGTTTCATTGAAAAATAATAGGTAAGTCTGAATTCTTTTAGTCATTTTCGACAATGGACGGTATAGCTGCTTCCATTTACCGAAAACCGGGCAGAAATGAGAATTCAGTTCTCTCATGAGTTTAATAGTGTGCGGGAAAACATACCAGCCCATTATATTTTTTAATTTCTTTTTGCTCTCACCACCAGTTTTATAATCGTCGTTGAACAGCCGACCTATTTTTTGAGTTTACAGCAACTAATGTTCAACTCCGTAGCCTTATAATTTCAAACCCAATCCAGAAGACAGACAAGGGAGCTCCCGGATCAAGTATAGGAAGAAATTTGCTTTCGTGGATGATTTTTTTATGGAACTAATCCACATTTGTGTTATACAAAAAGGAAAAATCACGAACACCTCCCACGATTAGCCTGACAGCAAGAGGACCCTAACCCATGATCCGTCTATCAATGAGGATATTTTATGTTACTACTGTGGTCAGTACAAGCCGGATGGGGAATTGGTTACGACCAGCCATCCTTGGGATTTGAACCAGGGATAATGGGAGGCGAGTGCTCCATTCCCTGAGCCACCAGGTTGTGAATCTGCTCCTATTTTGTTCTGGCACCAGCCCTTTCTATATGATATACCGGGTATTCAAGTAATACCGATTTAAACCCGCTGACAGTTTTAAGTCGCTAATTACACATGTTAACTAAATAATCCTAAGAAAAAAACTGAGTTTTTTGAAGGAAAAAAAAATAGTTTAAAGTACATTTTATTGTATCATGTTTTTGATATTCAATATCTTTTTACCTTTTCGTAACTTTTAATAATTTTTATTTTATTCTCTTAAAATTAAGTAAGAAATGTAGAGATCAAATTCAAAGAGAGCAGACTCGAGAGAGGCTAGAGTTTATAAGTAGCTGTTGAATCAGCGGTGATGATACTGAAATAATTCATCAATATATTTTGTAATACTTTCTGTTTCCAAATTCCCTTAGTTTTCCAAGATTTCACCTAAAAAGCTGGTTTTGCATCTAGTCTGGTAAATTATTTTATGAAAAGAAAAATGTACATTTTGTTTTAAATTTTTTTAAAATCTAAATGGTCAACAATATAGTGCTTTAATATTCCTTTCTATTTACTACTTTTAGAATATTAAATCTGATAAAACAAGCTAAACTTCTGAACAATTGATCTGAAGAAATTCGATAAAAGAATGATAATTTTTGACATATTTCTTATAACTTTCAAGATACCTGTGTGCAGTTCTGAAAATAGGCATACAATTATTATTACATAAATATATGCCACTTTTTATTATTAATATTGATGTATTGAACTGGCTAAATTATTATGAATTTAGTGCTCTCAATAGTTTAATGGTCATATAAGAAGAAGAAAAAATCCTTAGCTCTTAAACAATTTTTACTAACATTTCTCTATTAAGACTTTTAAAATATTTTTAGAACTTCCTGTTGCCTAGATAAAGTTTGATTTAATAAATTTTTATTAACAGAATCTTTTATTTTATATTAATACGATAAGTAGGTGCAAAAGAATTATCTACTTTTATTGTCTATTCCAGAATAAAATTATTTTTAAAAAAGATTATTCAGACTATTATAACAACACGTGCACAACTAGCCATTTTGTCGAAATCATACATTGTTTAAATTAATGTTATAAACCTGTGTCGTAAACATTAGGGTTCTGTTTTTAAATTATATATTTTAAGCATGCTGATGAATTCTTTAAAAATAATTCATGGCTTTCAAAAGAATTATTTCCAAGCAAATATTATTGTAAACTTAAAAATCGGGATAAGAGCAAATTCTTCCAGTAAGAATACGTTGTAACCATGATCCACAATATTTTAGTCTATATAAAAATTAAATCCTAAATATAAACTCAGTGGGAGTCATAAATTAATATTTAATCGTGGAAGAAACAATAACACCATCGAAATCTAAACAGTTATTATTGAAGATGGCTGCTTTATTTTTATTTCTTTATAACTATCGTAGATCAACAGAACCAATATCGAGTTTACGTCTACCAGTGTTCAATTTCGTGGCCTTGTAATTTTGAACCCGATCCAGAAGACAACGGAATTCCTTAGTCTATTATTGGGAGAATATTACCTTTGTGGAAGACTTTTTGATTGAACTAACCAGCCTTTAAGTTACATGGAGAGGAAATTCATGAAAACTGCTCATGATTAGCATGATGGTAAGAGGACTCTAATCTGCGTACCACCGAGGATATTTTACGTTTGCAAAGTAGTCTGGTGTGGAATTTGTATCGACTAACCATCGATGGGAGTCGAAATCGGGTCACCTTAATGTACGGCAAACGCTCTATTCCTTGAGCCACCCCGGATCTGGGGAAGGGGATAGTACAAAACATAAACACCTGTTTAATTGTCAGTTGAAATTTAGAACAATCGTTTTTAAACTCCTTTTTTTCTATGGCAATGAAATAAGTTCTGATGTTTTAAATCCCACTCTCTCTCCATAGTGATTCGTCATAACATTTTTTGTTTTACCCTAATTTTATATTAATTTTATATTAGGTTTTGATCCCCTATGTGCATTTCTCTCACCTCAACATTCGCAAGGATTCTATAGCATATATATTCAAGGCGGTAATTACGGACAACTCTATCCGCATTTTATTACGGATAGCAGTAAAGATGCTTCATATGTTGCTATTTGGCCAACGATGAAAGCACTGAAAATGTTTTGCGCCTCTTTCTTTGAGTGGTACAAAGAAAAATATATAAACTATTATCTACGCCAAACGCACTTATTAAGTCACGTAAACATAAGTATCAAAACAAATTTTCCACGCCAAGATTCTCGCCATTGTTTGTTACCCTTTTACGAAAACCCCATTAAAAATAGAGGAATTACGTAGCTTAACTTCCTATACCGGCTGCGTTTATTTTCAGCAATTATCGGAGAAAGAGCGAAAGCATTTACAAGGAATTCGCATTAAATCAAAACAATGTATTCTGCAGGGTTTGAAGACAGTAAACTACCCTTTTAGAGCTGAGGAAATTATTGGACTTAGATAGATGTTTCGGTGGAATGCCCGGCCATAGGCAGCACTTTAAATGATTTCTAAGCCCTTCTTCAGAGCAGGGTTTTATGTAAACTCAACCCTTAGATCTCAAGTGGTTTCATGGCTAGGAATTGCAAGATGCAAACTGTGGTTTAAGCGATATAACATCACGTTTGAAGTGGGCTATCAAGTTTCTGCGAATCGCAGTGATAATTACTCACTTTTAATTGCGTTAAAAGGGAATGATGAACACGGGTAATTATATCAGTATACCGCGATTTATCTTTAAAGTTGCACATTTCTATCCTAGTTTTGCATAAATTTTCCTTAAAATATAAAAAATGGCACATATAAGGAACCCTATTATGTTTTTATCGCAGAATTTGCAACGTAATATGATTTTTGGAACAATGTTTTAGAAATGTCCTAATATTAGCTAATTAAATTTAGTCTATATTTTTCTTTATTGTGTTTAAAGATTTTAAAATAGTCTGATGAAAACGGGTAATTATTTAATTATACCATGAAACTAGCGAATATCCTATCAGAGTTTTGCATTAATTTTCTTTAAAATAGAAAAGGTACAAATATGGAACCTTGTTAGTTTTATTATTATTACAGAGTTAGAAACATAGTTTTAATATTTTTGGACATTATTTTAGAAATTTCAGAATTTTAGTTAAACTGAAACTCGAAATTAAACTCAGTGGCGCGACAGCCTAAAGAGGGCCTAAGACCAATTATGTCAATCTTGACTTGGACTCTGGGGTGTAATGCTCCGATTGGGTGATCATCCGAGAGCGGAACCGCCTGTGAGTCCCCAAGCATTCTTGCAACTCATTTTTCGACTAACTGAATGAATGAAAGATTGAATAACTCGTGCTCGGGCCGAGAATAGAACCCCGCACCTGTGAAACTGGTGTGTGAAGCACTACCACAGAATTTTAGTAAACCTAATTTAATTTGTCTGTAAATTAACTGCAATGCGCAAAAAAAGTATTTAGTGAGAAACACACATTCCGAAACTGAAGTAGATTTCAAATAAGCGAACTATGTGCCTAATTACCTGAAATACTACATTCTGAGCCTTGGTGGCTCAGAGGATAGAACGTTCACCTTCTAATGAGGTGAGCCGAGATCGAATCCCAGCGATTGCTGGTTGAATCGAACTCTGCCCCGGCCTAACACAGGCCACAGTGCTGACGTAAAATATCCTAGGTGGTAGACGGATCATGGGTTAGAGTCCCTTGCCGTCAGAGGTTTTTGTGGTATTCCTCTACATGTAGCGGAAATGTGTATTAGTTCCATCAAAAAGTTCTCCGCGAAAGCAAATTTCTCCCAATACTTGATCCAGAAGTTCCCTTTTCTTCTAGTTGGGGTTCAAAGTTACAGGACTACGGACTTGAGCACTGGTAATCGTAAATCCAAAATTGGGTCTGCTGTTCAACGGTGGTTATAAATAAAAATTAAAAAAAACTACATTTTTATCTCTACTCTTACCTCTTGGAAATCACCCCAGGCTGTAGAGGTGGAGCGGCATCAAATGTAAGGTCATTAGATAGGCTTTTTCAAAATATTTTTTGCTGTTTCGTTATGACGTCTCAAGATGTCTCTGTTTTAAACCATTTAAAAATTGTGATTACAGCACTGTCACATTTACACTTGACGTGACAATTTAATCTTTTATTTACATCTAATTTTCTTTTAACTATACTCGTTTTTTTATATAGCAGCTTATATTTATTTTAACTTTCTGTTCGACCTTTCTCGTGGACAACGCGGTCATCGCACTTCCTGTGAGAAGAGTTACCCCTCTATACCAGCCTTTCTTTTTTCTTCCTTTAATTTTTTAAGGGGGCTTACTAACCAATCTCTTCCACTTGACATTCAAACTCTCCTCCCCTTTAAATTTTAATTGGCTATCACCTTTCTGGTCCTACACCAGTTAGCGAATTTTTTTAAGACACAAAAAC